CCAACCCAAAGTTGGATAGAAAAGTGAAAGAGGAAACCTTCCAATCCTATGTTACAATCCAAAGTTGGATAGAAAAGCGAAAGAGGAAATCTTACAATCCAAAGTTGGATAGGAAAGTGAAAAAAAAAAAAAAAAAAAAAAACTTTACAAATTCAATGATCAAGTTGGATACTTCAAGTCCCACTTGAAAAAGGAGATCAGTCTTGTCAAACTTGGGACTCGAAGTGGGGGCAATTTGTAGACATTAAAATTTTAGTGGGCTTTGGTTTTGACAAATTGATCCATTAAATATGGGTTTAATCTTTAATTAAGTTATTTAACTGGCCCAAGCTTGGTCCACTTAAATTATTTAATTAGTCCAGCCCAGATGATTAAATAAAGATAATTATTCTTAATAAAATATATTTGGAATAATTATTTTTAAGGATAATTATCATAATATAACTGGCCCGGCCCAGTTATGATTTTATCCTTATCAAGAGATGACACGTGTCATTATCCTATTAATCCAAGAAACCTATAAATAGAGGCCTGAAGGAAGAATGAGGGGGTACACAAATTCAGAATTTAGAAATCCAGAAATCCAAAGACTCAGAAATCAGAGACACAAATTCAGAATCCAAACCCAAAAGCGAAGAACATCAAGCACATTCAAAGACGTGCCGTTCTTCATCAAATTCCACGGTAATCAACAACAAGCACATCCAAAGTTGTGTCGTTCTTCATCCAAATTCCACGGTGATTCAAGATCAAGCTTGTACAACCATTGGATCCAACCAACCAGAAAGGACATCGAATCAGAGGACCTTTCTTTTTGTAAAGAATATTACAAAGGATTGTACTCCATCATTATCAATTAATAAAATATTATATTTGCCCCTATTTTCTTTCGTATTTGCAGACTTACAAAATTTGTGTGTACAGAAATAATATGAAATTAGACTAAAACGGGAAAATAAGATAGGATAAGGTCCTAGAATACTCAAGTTTAAGGGGTTTAAATATGCACTTTTCAGCGCTCATCAGATCTTTCCAGCCATGATTACAGGTACTAGAGTATGGATTATACCCTGTTCTAGAGAATGCAGAATTGGCATGCTCTTGAGAAATTTCATAAGGTTGTCCCATCATAGGACATGTATCAGCAAGATACCATGGATTAGTATAGATTAAGCACACTTATTTTAGTAAAAAAGCATGCTGAGAAGCAACAGGAACATAGCTAGATGATAAAACTTGGTCGAACCTTTAGTTCAACGCTTCTATTTGAGTGGCTAACTCTCTAGATTTCTCAACTTCATATAGATTTTCATCCTTGTGGATACTTGGAGCAGACCTAGTCCTAGAGGAACAAACATATTATACAGAGTTTTCACTTAGGGCCTTAAACAGTTCCCATGCGTCAATTACACTCTTATGAAGGAAAACTTCATTACTAGAAGCATCAACCATATTCCTATGTGGATAAGATAATCCATCATAGAAGATCTACACCAAATGACATTTAGCAATATCATGGTGTGGACACTTTCTCAAAAGATCATTATATCTCTCCCACGAATCATGAAGTTGTTCACCCAGGATTTGGGTAAACTGCATGATCTCTCTTCTCATTTGTGTGGTTTTACCCATAGTGTAGTACTTTTTCAAGAACTCCTACTGCAACATGTCCCGTGTACTTATGGAATTAATTGGTAGGGAGTGCAACCAAGTTCTTGCTTTTTCCTTGAGAGGGTGGACAACTTGGAAAAGTTGCATCCCAAACGAATCATCTGAAAGAGTGGACAACTTGGTAGTTGAACACAATTCCAGAAACACATCTAAGTGCTTATAAAGATCTTCAGTTGCAAACCCATGGAATGAAGGAAGCATTTGGATCATAGCAGGCTTGATCTCAAAGTAGGTTGTATTAGTGTCTGAAATTGGAAGCACGAAGGGGACGTATATGAAGTAGGCATGTAATGAACCCTCAGTGGTATGGGGGCAGGTGTAGGTGGCACGCGTGCTCTCAAAATATTATCACCATCAGTAGCCATATCTATCCTAGAGGATTCTCCTATCAAGTTAGAATTCTGTTTAGGTTTTCTAATTTGCCTAGGAGTCTTCTCTAGTTCAGGGTTGTATTCAAGTGTTGGTTATAACAAGGAACGGCGACCTAACATGCACTATGTCCAATGGTGAAAGCAGTAACAAAAAGAAAATTTTCAAGTAAAGAAATTAACCAACAAGAACTCACAAAGGTCCTAAAACCGAAGCTTCTGTTCCTTAAGTGTCTTTGTCCTCGTTACTAGATTCCTGCACTTGAAAAGAAAAAGAATAAGATGAGATATCAAAAAATCCTAAAATTATAAATTAAAGTAGAACTAATCTCGAACTCAACAAAACTGTTACAAAGTCCCCTACAATGGCGCCAAAAATTAATGTGTCGTAAATATTTCAATTATAAAATACCACTCGCAATAGAATAAATCATTTGCAAGATAAGGCTACTTAGATGGTGTCGAACCTCAAGGACTATGGTGGTTTAGCAAGCCTTCAATTAATACTATTTTAATTTAGAGAAAGATTTGTTTGATGTTTTTTCATTCAATAACATAAACAAAATTAAACTAAATAAAGGACTGAGACCAGAGAGAGGACTGAGACCAGAGAGACAAGATCTTAGAAATTGACTTCACCACGAACCTCATACTATGGTCAACTGTTCAACCTTGGGATTTCAGCACTTATGTATAATATGGAATTAAACTCAATAACATTCTTTTAATTTAGATTTAAAGAAAGAAGTTTTATGAATTTCAGTTAATAATAACCTATCTTCGGTTGCCACGAATTATCTACCTACCTACTTCTAATTAATGTTGTAGTATAACTCAGCTTCCCTAAGCAAAGACTATGAAAATATTCATTCACAAAAAACGTTTGAACACCATTACATGATCTCTATTCTTATTATCCGAGAAGCCCTTAGCCGCCAATCTCGTACACTAAGAATAGGTTGAATATAATTTAAGAAGAATTAAATCTAAGACAATGTACTAATGTCTCAAAAACTAATATATTTCATTAAAATTCCAATTGCTTAGAACATCTAAATCAATTGCTCAAAATTATGCAATCAAAATACATAAATAGTTAAAATCCTAAACTATAAAACAATCAAACTATAGTAATTGGATTCGGGTTACATTAATGCCGTAAGAGGGAATTTAGCTACTCATGATGATACAAGATATCATTTGTGTTGTTGTGGACTTTATCATCATGGACTGCACTTCTCTTCTGAGGATCTTCACCTTTAATGCTTCAGAGATCTTTTCTGTGGCCTTGTGCATGCTTTTATAGAAGTAACTGACTTCTAACAAGGATTGGATGAACTTTAGGTCTTCTGGAGTCACCTGGGCTCGTTTGGACGAAATAGGCCTTAATTAGAATTAATCCCGCAACTTAGAAATTTGACTTAACAGGAAAAGCTCGAGTAGAGAAGCTTCTGCTCGAGCTTTTTAGCTGGTGCTTGAGCCTTTTGACTTGTGCTCGAGCAAGAATTCCATACTTAGTTCCTTTTCTCCACTTTATTTCCAAAGCTCTTTTTCATTAACACTTAGAATATTTTGGGACTTCTTTTTCAGGGTGCTCGATCACCTTGGCTTGGGTGCTCGAGCCTTTTGACTTGTGCTTGAGCCTTTTGGGTTGTGCTCGAGCCTTTTGATCTTTGCTCAAGCTTTGGAAACGTGGAACTTTCAAGGCGTCTTTTCATATTCCGAGAGAGTTTATGCTTAAGCCCTTTTGCAAAGGATCGAGCACCTTGAATCTCTGCTCGAGAAGGAATACCTTTGCTAGAGCCTTTTGGCCTTGGTTGCTTTTTTTGCCTCAATTAACTTTGTGCTCGAGCTAAGGAACTTGTGCTCGAGATTTTGCATTTGAGCTTCTCCAAAATCACCTTTTTTACTTCAAGCCTACTTCAGATGATCGGGAACAACTCTGTAAGCTTCGATATAAGTCTTTTAGTCTTAGAATCCCAGATTTATCCTTTTCTTTGGGAAAGTACCTACAATAGCAACATAAACTAAAATAAATCTAAAATCGGATAGAAGTACTACTTAAGGTCTTAACATACGCATGATTAGGAGCTCGAATATACAATATTCAGCGCTTATCAAGCTCCACCTCAAACTCTTCATAGCTCCACCTCAACTGAAATTTTCTTCACCTCAAATAAAGCACTATGATGAACTCGAGAAACACTCTTAACACTATGATAAATTATTATGTACATGTTATTCAAATTGATGTATTATTCATTTCAATGAAAGTGTTGATTTTATATTATTATATGTTTAAATTGTATGACTTGTGTATGAATAAAATTTAATATGTTATTGTTTTAATGTCTTTTATATTTGGGTGCAAATTCCCCAACAATTTCTTTTCAATTGGCAGATGTAATTTATTTAACTAATATAAATAAATAACTTTCTGACCCGAAAAGAAAAATTAGAATTTTTCTCTCAATTGACAAAGACTTGTGCGGATAACGCATTATAAATATTACAAAATATATATATAAAGAGAGGATGAACTGACAGTTTTACGAAACAGATAGAGGAAAATTTTAATTTATTTTTCATACTATATGATCTTTAAGTCACGAGGATCATGAGGTATTTATAGCTTAAAAACCAGGCTTCCTTTGCAAGCCATAGACGAGTTATTGTACACGTTAATGCATTCACACCACAAACACAATGTTTCAAACGAGTGTACCCCACTCATATATTTTATTTTACTTTATATATTTCAGTTTTTTCTCTTTACCGAGTTTTATTAGGATTTCGTTCCTCATGAGTACAATTATTGAATACTGTCCAACAAAACTCCGATTGAAATTTGTAAGATTTGAATCCAAAGAGTGGCGCAAGTTCAAAGTTAGATAAAATATATTTTTCTACTTAACTAAACTCCTTTCTAGGGATTCAACAAGCGTTGAGAGAAGTAGTTGAATGGATTTGCTGGGACAGGCGGGCCAAATCTCCATCGTGGCCGCTGAAATCATCGGCGGGAATGAACACCTGATTGTGGAGATCCTTCAACGTCTGCCAGTGAAATCCCTCATTCGATTCAAGTCTGTCTCTAAAACATGGCTCTCTCTCATCTCTTGTCGTCGATTCTCTTTCCTCCTTTGGCAACAACAACAGCGACAATCCCAGCGTCCCAAAATCTCTGGTCTTTTCTTCACCTCTAGATACCGAACTGGAATCAAATACCTTTCCCTCATTAACTCCTCTGGTCATAGTAATGGCGTAATGAATCGCAAAGAAAACAAGTCTCTAGCGAGTCTTCCTAATAGCATTGCGAGAATTCTTTGTCATGAAAAAAAGAAGTTTTTAGCTCTTTTTCCCGAGACCTATACTACAATCATAGACTCTTGTAATGGTTTTCTACTGATCTGTTGGTTAACTAATAATTCCAAATCTTATCACATTTACAATCCTACTTCCAAGCAATTCTTTACTCCTCCCTGGCCTTTTCCCCATACTGACATTGTAAATTTGGCTTCTGATCATTCGAAATCACTTCACTACAAAGTTGTTTTGCTTGAGAGATCGTCATGCTACTTCTATCAAATTCATATTTATTCGTCAGAAACTAATATGTGGAGACCCTCTGGCGATCCTTTCTCAGCAATAGAATTGGACTTTGATAATGGAGTCTATTGTAATGGCTCCATCCATTGGATTTCCTTTCGCTCAGAAGGAACTTCCATATACTTTGATGTTGATCAAGAAAATTTGTGCCAAATGCCATCTCCACCATATCGGGCTACATTTGAATTTCGGCATTTTGGGGAGTCTAGAGGTCATTTGCATGTTACTGAGTACATTCATATCTTTGATCATACCAGATTTAATGTTGTTCACATCTCTGAGATGGAAAGTGATTACTCTAAGTGGTCATTGAAGTACCGGGTTGACCTTAAACCGATGATAATTGATCTTTCATTGCAAGAGAGGATTGTCCCTGACGAGTTCTCTGTGCTTAGTTTAATTCATGATGATGAAGCAGATCATGTGTTTTTGGTGCTATTTGTTGGCACCAATATGATCATCTCCTGCAACATAAAGAATAATATCTTCAAGAAGCTTGATGTTGTAACACCCCAACCAGTTTGTTGTTCGTATGATCTTTCGTGGTTTAAATACTCCCGTGTCCATCAATATATTGAGACACTCTTTCCCATTTGATTGATCATGTTACATTAAAATCACTTGGGTGTGGTCACCGGCTATTCCGGTGTTTAATATATAGCTTCAATTCAATCTTGAAATATATTCAATGTACATTATTATATTTATTAGGGGAAAAATCAAATAACCCCCCTCTACTATTTTTTTCTATCAAATTGCCCCCACTAAAATTAAACACCCCCCTCAACTATAAACCGTCATCACATTGCCCCCTTTCCGTTCAAACCCGTTAACCTGGCGTTTGAATAGTAGCGCGTGACCAACACGCGCTTATCAAAAAAAAAAAAATTCTTTAAAATACCCATTCCCTATCCTCTTCTGTGTTATATTATATATGTGAGTGTGTTGTTGTTGGGATTTATATGCCCTGGCATAGCAAATTCCTATCTGGATTATAGTGACATATGTTCCTGACATATCTGAAATATCTATGATTTATATAATTAGTGAATTCAATGTATTATATTTCGATTCACTATGAAATTGATAGTGTCCCTGTGATTACAAGAAATATTTATATATATATGTAAGTGATGGCAATCAATGCATAATATATAAATAGTAATTATAAATTGTTTATAGTCGGTAATTATGGATGGACTCATAATTAATTAAGACTTGAACTGGATCCGCGTTAGGTTGAGATATATTGCGAGAGTCGTCGTATGCAATTGTTCCTTATCATCGTCATGCCATTTGACTCTTAAGCATGAGAAAATTATAGACTCTTTTATTAATTAATCATTACTTTGATTTGTTCGGCGGATTCTTCGGGATTCTTAGACCAACACTTTGGGTAGTTATGTAATTAATAGTTAGAGGGTTATATTTTCAATATTTACATCATTGCTACTTGTATTTATTTTGTATTAATTATGGTTGATCACAAAGTAAATTCGAAGGCTTTCGTATGTTTTTAGACAAAATGATTTATTATATATTTATTTATTTAAATTATTATTTTTGTCAAACAAATGTTTTGTTGTGATCGAGCCAGAAATAATCAAAGGTACCAAAATAAATATATTAATTAAGTAGTGGGATTGATGGCTTTATTTATCCGATAACTAATTATACATAGAGGGGTCAAAGTGTAATATTGACTTAGAGGTTATTTATTATTTAATTGGAGTTCAATTAATTTCTTTTAGTGGAGTAGAAATTAATTATGAATTAATTGAATTGGGTCCATGGACCAGGCCAATTATTAATTCATTGTAGCCAATAAAATAATAGGCCCAATGGATTCTCACTCATAACCCAACTTAATATTGGAATCATATTAGATTTGAGACATGTAAATTAGAGATGGAGAAGGATTCGTTGTTTCCTTTTCTTTACCTTTATGTTGCCTATAAATATACATGGTCTATGTATATTTTGGGGGATGATTTTTATGAGAAGGAAAAAGGAATAAATATTCTCTCTCTAGAAAATTAGGGTTAGTGTTCTCATCTAATGGAGGCTCCCACAAGCCTAATTTTCCAAGGTCATTCAAGGAGGCATATGAGTGATTCCTAAAGGCAAAACAATTACCAAGAAGATGGGGATCCAAGGTGAAGGCATCTTGCTAAGGGATCTACAATAAGTGAGAACATTCACTTTAGAGGAAAGATTTAAAGGTTTACTCAGACCTTTGATGTAAGTATTCAATCCATTAATTGAATGATACATCATATTTTATTTTTGCATAAAACTTGTCTCTATGTGATGAATCAAGATCTATGAATCAAAATCCCTCAAAAAGTTTTTAAAACTAGCACGTTTCCCAATAGTTGTGTACTGTATATATCTTCTCAAAGACACAAACAAGTCCATGTAGCGGTCACCGGTGCGGGGTGCTCCGGCAAAATCCATAGAATCTGGAAACCAACCATGCACAGAGGTGACGTATTAAGGGTATTAAGGAAATGAATTGACTTATGAAATGGTGAAAGTCTTGAGCTTATGTGTCATACAACAATAGATTGCTTATAAACCTGATATGAAAAAATCCAAAATCAGAGCAACCTCATAAATTGCATAGACAATAACAATGATCTCTTGTAAATTTTCAATTGGAATTAGCTCCTTTTGTGGAATATTATTTTTCTTGATGATTTCAGAGTACTGGGATTCGAAGGAAGAAGAGCTGCTTATTGGACTATGACTGTGCTTCACATACTCCTCATAGAGGTCTTGCTAATCTCAGAAATTTTGACCTTTTTTGGATCTACGATGACACACATCACCGGTTGCCATGAATCGGACTTCAAACAACCGGAAGTTAGCAATTTGTTGAACAAAGGCTTGGTTATAGCTCTCAAAGACACAAACAAGTCCATGCAGCGATCACCGGTGTAGGAGTGCTCTGGCGGAAGGCCATCCTAGATTGTTTCGAAACGAAAGCCGGGACAGCGATTGAAATGGGATTGAATATTAGTATGACGGAGGAGGCGAGAATGGATGTGGTCGGTGAGGAGGAAGATGATGTGGAGGCCGGTGAGGGAGAAGAGGTCGGCGAGCTTGAGCATGGAGTTTATTGGACCTTGCAGAGGTAAAGGGAACATTAGGACATGAGGTGGGAGATCATCCATATCCATGAGTTTCTATTCCAATTGCTTAAAATTTTCAAAGACACCTGAACAATTAGTTGTCCTATTTTCACCCATATTAATGATTGTATCTCTTCCCTCTCTCTAGTGCACAAGCAATAGAAGGACGTCCTATACCGCGGCGATCATCAAATCATTGGAAATCTGAATGCAGTCGCGAACATCGCTGACGCTTCGCTGAAGAATCGACCTTGAGAGCCACTAATTCGATGCTTGCGAAGTCACCGACTCGGAATTCATGTGCACTGGCGGACTCGAAGATGAGTATCTGTATGTCCTTGTGGTCCCTTCCGATCAGAACAATCTGAGAGTGCATCACAATAACAATGAATTATGAAGGTGGTCTCCAACTGCTCTAACGATCTCGAAATGTCTATCACTGCCCTCAAATCTCTCTCCACCCTCACCAATCTCACGTTCATCAACTGCCCCATTTCACTTATTCATTTCCCCTCCAAACTCACCTCCAATCTCCACTACTTCACCTACATCAATGGCCTTAAGAAGCTCACCGGAGTCTTGCTCGGTTGGATGACGAACCTCACCGATTTAACCGTCTCCGGCGTGACTGTAAATGCCAGTGGTCCATCGATCATCTTCAGAAACATGAAGAAGCTCAAATCAGGAAAATCATAAAGAAACATTAAATCTTGTATTTGTAGGTTGATATATATGGAAAGTCATTTTCTGTGAACTCTACCATTGTTTGCGCATTTATTGTCTAGTATCATGAATTATTTCAGTAAAATTTTGAAGTTACAAGCATTTGTAATATGACTGCATTTTGTTGCCTCTAAATAATACATTTCTTTTGTATTTAAATTTCATATAATATTATGAGGGGTATAGTTGTCATTTCACGACAGGTTAACGGGTTTGAAGGAAAAGGGGGCAATGTGATGACGGTTTATAGTTGAGGGGGGTGTTTAATTTTAGTGGGGGCAATTTGATGGAAAAAAATAATAGAGGGGGGTTATCTGATTTTTCCCCTATTTATTAATACTATTTCAGTGTTTTATGTCCATCAATTTCATTCTATGATGGTTTATCGCTGGTTAATTTTCAAATTATTATATTTCTATTTTTATCATAGTATTTACGAAATTTATTGATTGACCGAGTTTATACTGATGTCGTTTTTTTATCGTGACTTTTGTAATAGCTCACAATAAAGCTGGAGATTTTTTATTTTTTTATGTTTTTTGCTTTGTGTGTGTAAACTCATGTACTATAAAAATTTTGGCAAGTTTAAATTTTTTATTTGTCACAAAAAAACTTAAATAATTTATAGTAAACTCAAGTACTTTAAAACTCACGGACAAAATAATATTGAAGTTTTGAAAGTGACAAATAAAAAATTAATTATAAATTAATCTACTAAAATAATGATTCACAATAAGTTAAAAGTACTTTAATGTTACATTACTATAATTTTGTTATCTTATATTTCTTGATATTCATAGCCTAAGCACGAGGATCACACCATTTTAATAATGAAGAAATTAATATGTCAGATAAGGGTAAAAATTCAAATTTCGTTCTTGATACTCAATCAAAACTACTGAACAAACCGTAAGTGTTAACATGAAAATATTCAATTATTTAATGCAAAGAGTATTAAGATAAAGAAAAATATAACTTTTCGGACTTGTACAAATTGAAGTAAATTCACTATTAAGACTTGGATTAAATAGTTCAATGTTATTATGTCTTAGAGATAGTAGATCTAACAATTTCCATTATTCCCTTTTAAGAATTTTAGAGTCGGTGTAACGGGCCAATATATTTTAATATTCTCCCAAAATTTTCCATTTCAACAATTCTCTATTGGATGAAAGGAGAGAAGAAAAGATAAACGAAATATCCTCTTTTTGTTTGGTTAGATGGAAGAGAAAAGAATAAAGAAAAATTTTGTAATTTAAAAATATTTATAATAGTCTTGTCTTTCTTCCTTTATATCTTTAGTCCATAATTGTAGAGAAGAAAATTTGTGAAGGAGAAATGATGACTCATTCTCATCTTTTTTCTTCGCTCGTTATCTCCTCTTTACTAAATGAAGAAAATATGTTTCTTCTTTCCAATCTTACATCCACCCATCTTCTTTCTGTTGGGATTTATATGCCCTGGTATAGCAAATTCCTGTTTGAATTAATTGACATATGTTCCTGACGTTTCTGAAATATTTATGTTTTATACAATTGGTGAATTCAATGTATTATGTTTCGATTCACTATGAAATTGATAGTGTCCATTTAATTACAAGAAATATTTATATATATGTATGTGATGGCAATCAATGCATGATATATAAATAGTAATTATAAATTGTTCATAATCGGTAATTATGGATGGACTCATAATTAATTAAGACTTGAACTGGATCCGCGTTAGGTTGAGATATATTGCGAGAGCCGTCGTATGCAATTACTCCCTATCACCGTCATGGCATCTGACTCTTAAGCATGAGAAAAGTATAGACTCTTTTATTAATTAATAATTACTTTGATTTGTTCGGCGGATTCTTCGGGATCCTTAGACCGACACTTCGGGTAGTTATTTAATTAATAGTTAGAGGGTTATATTTTCAATATTTGTATCATTGCTACTTGTATTTATTTTGTATTGATTATGGTTGATCACAAAGTAAATTCGAAGGCCTTCGTATGATTTTAGACAAAATGATTTATTATATATTTATTTATTAAATTATTATTTTTGTCAAACAAATGTTTTATTGTGATCGAGCCAGAAATAATCAAAGGTACCAAAATAAATATATTAATTAAGTAGTCGGATTGATGACATTATTTATCCGATAACTAATTATGCATAGAGGGGTCAAAGTGCAACATTGACTTAGAGGTTATTTATTATTTAATTGGAGTTCAATTAATTTCTTTTAGTGGAGTAGAAATTAATTTATGAATTAATTTAATTGGGTCCATGGACCGGGCCAATCATTAATTCATTGTAGCCAATAAAATAATAGGCCCAATGAATTCTCACTCATAGCCCAACTTGATATTGGAATCATATTAGATTTGAGACATGTAAATTAGAGATTGAGAAGGATTAGTTGTTTCCTTTTCTTTACCTTTATGTTGCCTATAAATATACATGGTCTATGTATATTTTAGGTGGGATTGATGAGAAGGAAAAAGGAATAAATTTTCTCTCTCTAGAAAATTAGGGTTTATGTTCTCATCTAATGGAGGCTCCCACAAGCCTAGTTTTCCAAGGTCATTCATGGAGGCTTATGAGTGATTCCTAAAGGCAAAACAATTACCAAGAAGATGGAGATCCAAGGAGAAGGCATCTTGCTAAGGGATCTACAATAAGTGAGAACATTCACTTTAGAGGAAAGTTTTAAAGGTTTACTCAGACCTTTGATGTAAGTATTCAATCTATTAATTGAATGATACATCATACTTTATTTTTGCGTAAAACTTATCTCTATATGATGAATCAAGATCTATGAATCAAAATCCCTCGAAAAGTTTTTAAAACTTGCACGTTTCCCAACAGTGGTATCAGAGCATGGTTTGATTCATTACTAGAGATCATGATTTTATGAAAATCATCATTCATGGATTCAAAATTATATTCATATATATTTTTATTGATGTATGTTGATGTATGAATTAATATATTGATATATATTGATACATGATGATGTATGTATAATTGTGAATGGATGATGATGTGTGTTTGGGCCATGGATGAAGCTTATAGGTTATTTGAATGTAATTAAGGCTTTGATTTAGCCGTTTGAAAGTTCAATGATGTAATTTAATTTTTTCCCATTGTATTTCAAATTGTAAATTTATTTAAAGCCATGTAATATTCATCAAAGGGTACTATGAAGCTTCAAGAAGGTCCAAGAGGATTAAATTAGGCTTCAGGAATTTTCTGGGATTTTTTAAGGCTTAATTTAATTTCTGGAATTTTGTATTTAATTTCTGGAATTGTTACGGCGATTTTCCGGCGACCGGAGTACCGTCAGCGGCAAGTGCAGTCACCGGAGTAAGGCTGCTGATCCGGTGCAATGAGGTGCACCAAGATTCCATGCAAAAGGATACAGAACCAACAGATCAGCATCAGTGGCGTGAGAGGATTTAGTGTGGACGCGCCTACAGGGCGCTCCAACATTGGCCAACAAGCTGGCGCGTGAGGACCACGCGCCAGTCAAAGGCTTAAGTTCAGCCATCTGGCGCGTGCACTGCACGCGCCAGACAATATGTTTATAAATCAGGCGCGTGTGGACCACGCGCCTGCTAGTTCCAGCGCTACATGGCGCGTGGCAGCGCGTGCCACGCGCTGCCAGTGTCTTCTCGCGCGTGCAGGCACGTGGAGGAGCTCTAGGGCGCGTGGGCGAGCGTGGAGGGCGCATGGGGCTGCTGGGAACAAGTTTTTAATGGCTGCAGGTGCTGTTTTGCTTTTCCAAGTGTTGTTTTAACCAATCCTGACGCGTACAAGCCTCCGCAAATGTACGCAAGCTAATGAAGGACCTCCAGACTCAATAGTTAGAGCATTTAAATGTTAAAAGCTGATTCCATTGGCCGTTTTTTATTTGCTTGATCATTTATGTGATGTATGAAATGCATGGAATAAATAATTATTAATTATTATTGTTCATGCATTAGATCCATGATATTTAATTAAATGACTTGATTTATATTAATTAAATTATGAAAATTAAGTGGATCTGATTACTAATTAATTTGAGGGCACTTATTGGGAAACGCAAAATTATTTTTTGTAAATTATTTTTTAAAGTGTGCTTCAAATTAAATATTAGTGAATCGTTTAAAGTCCAAATATTTTCTAAATTTAATTGGATTAAAATCAAGACGTTTTGTATGCATTATATCATGTAAATAAATAAATTCAAAACCCTACTTATGAACGATTAAAAATTGAGTGGGAGCGGGGATTTTTATACATTA